GGTTCACGTCCCAGACCCCCTGGCTTAAAACTCACGCCAGGCGCGTGTGCGGGCGTGCCCAAGATCCCGAGAGGAGAATGGAGGAGAAGGGATTGCGGCGTGACCATCCCTCCTGGGGGGGGATTTCTCGCTTTCTGTCTCTATGTCGCTCTCTGTCTGTCTGGCGAGCGCACGCGCCCTATAGCAAAAACCTCTCTTAAAAAAAAGAAAAGAAAAAGATTGCCAGTGCCCATCACGGAGCTCTGCGTGCAGGGTGACGTCTTAAAAGCATTTATACATTAGGTTTCCCTTAAGGGAGAATATGCCCCTTCAAAATAGAACTGGGGACTACCCCGTGGTGTGGTGGTTAAGGCAACTAGATCCCACATGGCCAACTGCATGACTTGGGTCCCAGACCCAGTGGCTAGAAAAACATGCTCGGCGCGTGTGCATACACACCCAAAATCCCAAAAGGAGGGATACATGGAAAAGAGATTGCAGCGTAGCCATCCCTCATCCGGGCTGCGTTCTCAGTCCCCTTCTCTTGGTCTATGTCCCGTGAGGACACTTAACCTCTGGCAAAATTGGGAAGGAAAAAAGACCCCCATTAAATGTGCCTCGTTAACTCTGGATCTCCACAACCATGAGCAGAATAAACATCGTTCTTTATAAATTAGGAAAAAGGTGAGAAGGAAAATCAGGGACCCATAATAACGTTTGTGGACTGAAAAGGCTTTTTTCAGACTTTGTGTAAGACTTTGATACAAGGTGGAGTCCCTGGTGGGGTGAGACATTCCAGCCTCGGGGTACAGTCAGCAGCTGAGCTGCAGTGCGGCAAGCCACGTAGCAGACCACAGGTGCAGATCCTGGGGAGGGGTCAGAGGAGGGGGTCACAGCATGACAAGATCCTGTGGAAGGTGGTTTTCTCTCTCTGCACGCACATGTGCTATCTTGGAGGGAGGAGAAAGAAAAAAACCTAAAAAAGAAGAGAAAGCCATGAGGCCAACATAATGGATATGTCACTGGAACCCCACAGAGTCGACTGCAGTTTGAGCCTGGACCCGGTGACTTAAAACACCAGGCATGTGTGCATGCATGCCCGAGATCCCTAGACCAGAACAGAGGAGAAGGGATTGTGACATGGCCATCTCCCTGGGGAGTGATTTCTCGTTTTCTGTCTCTGTCTCCGTCTCCCTGGTGAGTGCACGTGCTCTGTAACAAAAATCTCTCTCAAAAAAAGAGAAATGCAGAGAGCGATGAAGAGCCAGCTGAGGGTGCCCATGCAGACGCTCTGGGCCGATTTAGGGGTGGGCGAGTAGTTCTGTGAGCTGGAAGAGGATGCCAGGGCAGAGGAGAGTTTATGTGTCCACTCATTTGCTTGTTCAGTGATCAGACAAGTATTCATTATTGTTTACTATGTAACAAGCACAGATGTGGGTGTTGAGAGAAATGAGTCAAATACGACAGTCTCTTCTCTCAAGGAAATCACAGTCTGGTGATAGAGACAACGGGTCACATCCCTAGTAAAAATCGCTCCCTGCTCCAGGAACAGAGTCAAGCTATGCTGGGAGGCGGGAACTGGGAGGAACTCAGCCCTATGAGCTGAGTGTGAAAGGTGAGGAGGAGTTAGGAGCTGGCCAAGTGGAAGAAGGAAGCCTTCAGGACACATCTCACAACAAGTCAAGGCCGGAGGCTGGGCTGAGCGGGGCCAGCTGGACCTCTCGGGGGGTGGTTTGAGTGGGGTCTCCCACCGGCAGAACTAGGGAGGAAGGCGAGAGAGAAGAGTTGGAACCAGCCTAGACGTGCGGGCTTAGTCCTAAAGGTGGTGAGCTAGTACTGGAAATGTCTACAGTGGGCAACGAGGAACGCAGACGTCGGTAGGACGGGAGAGGTCCTGGGCAGATCATAGGGACTGTGGTCACTGGCCCTTTTTCTTTTTCTTTCTTTCTTTCTTTTTCTTTTCATTCAAGTTGTTACCATAGGGTGCATGTGCTCACCAGAGAGACGGAGAGAGGGCAAGTGAGAAATCACCCCCAATGACGGATGCGCATGCCGCAACCCCTTCTCCATTCTCCTGTTGGGACTTTGGGCACACATGCCCACATGCCCGGCATGATTTTCAAGCCACCAGGCCTAGGACTTGAACCATAGTCGACCATGCGGGACTCTGGCACCTTAATCACCACACCACGTGCTGGCCCCTATTAGCCCTTTCTTGAGCCAGGAGAAAAATCAGAAGGAACTGAACTGGAGTGGATTCAGTAGGGCCTGGCAGGGTGAGTGAATGAGAAATTGTAACTGGGTCATTCCCAGCCTCTGACTTTGGTGACCAGTGCTGTTCCCAAGGCAGAGTCAGGAGGAGGCGATTTCAGGAGGACGGTGCTGAGTTCATTCTTGCACACGTTCCGGGTTGCTGCAGGACACCCATGGTGCCCTCCGTACCCCATTTGCACGCGACATTTTCCAGAGACTCCTCCTGCCCTTCGGCCTAGCACGGTTCCTACCCCGCCACGCCTGCTGCAGCCTGAGCAGCCTGCGGGCCCTTCAGCTGGCCAGGCTGTGTCCTGCATCCGGGCCTCCGACTAGAATGCCATTTCCCTTCTCATGGCTTTTACCTGGCCAGCTGCTGCTCATCATTGCAGACTCAGAGGTCACGTTTTTTTTAGAATTATTTATTGGGATCAGGAAATGACATAAAGGTTACATCACTGAACTCCCATGTAGTCGACCGTGGTTCTAATCCTGGACCCAGTGGCTTAAAACTCAGGCCAGGTACATGTACATGCGTGCCCAAAATCCTGATAGGAGAATGGAGGAGAAGGGATTGAGGTGTGATCATCCTCCCGGAGGGTGATTTTTCACTGTCTCTCTGGTGAGTGCATGCACCCTATAGCCAAACTCTTTTAGAAAATTATTATTTGTAGATTTGCTATAGGATATGTGCAGTTATGAGAGAGAGAGAGGGCGGGGAGGGAAGGGAAGGGGAGAGAGAGAGAGGGACAGTACGAAAACAAGCAACCAGGTCTGGGACTTGAACTGTGGTTGGCCATGTGGGAGTCTAGCACCGTAACCACCATACAACCTGCTGGCCCAGGATGTCACATTTTCCTCCATATGAGACATGTACTCACCAGAGAGAGACAGTGAGAGGGAAAGTGAGAAATCACCCCCTGGGGGGATGGCCATGGCTCAATCCCTCCTCCATTGTCCTCCCGGGATCAGCATGCATTTCAAGCCACCAGGTCTGAGACTTGAACCAGAGTCAACCGTGTGGGAGTCCAGCAATGTAACCACTACGCCATCTACTGGCCCCAAGATGTCACATCTTTGAAGAATCCTTCCCTGGCACTTTCTACCACTTCTGCAATCCCAGAGAGGGTTCGTGTGACTCTGTCACCAGCCCAGCAGTCCCAACTCCATCACAGAGATCTACAGGCATGTCTTCTGTCCCCTCCTCCACTGTCGTGACCACCCCCAAGGCAGGTGGCATCTCTGTGTCCATGGTGCCTGGCATAGGTGGAAAGTAGGACATCAGTAACTGTTAAAGGAACAAATCGTTGGAAATCCCAGAGGTGAAATGAAGGCACCCAGGGCAGACGTGAGCATCACACTTTACGGCTCCCACGGCTCCCTGGTCCTCTTCCCCGGGCATTATGTCACCCAGTGATGAGATGCTCCCTGATCAACTGGACCTGTGGCTGTTGGCTTGGTTCTGTGTGTGGATTAGAATAGACAGGAGGACCTGGCGGCCTAGGAAGGCGGGCGGTGAATGGGAACTGAAATGGGACTGGCAGCCATCCAGGGTGCAAGTTTCAGAAGGAGCCTGGCCAAAGTGCTGGTTGCCCTTCCTCCGTCTAAGCTCCTGGGCCCTGTTTTCTACCACCACCTGGTGGCCACATCTGTAAACAACAGTCCCCTGAGCTGAGAGAGGTGGAGGCAGGGGTGGGCCCCAGAGGTGGGCTTAGAGGGTCATGACTCTTTGGGAGCCCCGTGCACACTTGTATGTGTGGGAGATGTGCCTCGTTCTGGGGAGACGGTTGGAGCTTCTTTCCCAATCCTAGTGCCTCCTAGAAGACAGGGAATTCCTGTTTTAAATGATTGATTCTTGCTTTTCTCCCTCACCTGAAAGCGCTTCCGGAGCCTGAGTTAGGGATCTATACAAGAGTAAGTAAAACACCAGCGTTGGCTAGGCCAGCAAGTGGCGTAGCGGTTATGCCAGCTGGACTACCCGCAGGATCGGCTGCGGTTCGAGCCCCAGACCCGGGTTCTCCCAGAACTCCCAGCAGGTGTGAGTGCATGCCTGAGTAGGAGAACAGAGGAGAGGGGAGTGTGTGTGTGTGTCCATCCCTCCTGGGGATGATGGTGAGCTCTCCCTCTCACTGTCTCTGTCTCACCGGCATAGCACACAGTGCCTACTAAAAATAAATAACGACCTGGCTGTGTCCAGCGTAGAACTGCGGTGTTACCGCGGTCTGAGCCCCAGAACCCGGTGACCCCAACATGGTCGCATTACTCACTCTGTTCTCGTGCACATACCCTGACCAGGGGAGTTAAATGAGTTTGGGATCATTGTTTCTCTTGATCTAAGTACTGGTAGTACTACTTTAACTCAGAGTATGTCATATACTAAATAGGGTACCAGTTTGCTGACTGGTCCTTTGTAAGGATCCGTCCTATATGGGGTGCCATTTTGCTGTAATAAAAAAGAAATTAAAGAAACTTCCTCAGTACAGGGCCCACCCTGTTACCCCCCTGTTCTCTCAGGCATGTACTCACACCTGGTGGGAGTTTCTAGAATGAACCCAGGTCTGGGGCTTGAACCATGAGCCTGTTCTGTGGGGAGCCCAGCAGCATAACCACTACACCATTTGCTGACCCAAGCCAGTGCTTGTGTTTTACTCACTCTTGTATATGATCCCTAAACTCAGGCTCCGAGAGTGCCCATATACATGGTTCCCCAGCTAGTGTACCGCAGAGCCAGACTCTCACTCACCCTGTCCCTCCCCTTCCCGTTCCTTCAGGAGTGCCAGCTTCTCTCAGGGCACCAGGGCCTCGTTTCTCATGAGGAGCGACACGGCCGTGCAGAAGCTCGCCCAGGGCAATGGCCACTGTGTCAACGGGGTGAGCGGCCAGGTCCACGGCTTCTACAGCCTTCCCAAGCCCAGCCGGCACAACGCGGACCTCCGAGACAGCACCTACGACCTCCCCCGCAGCCTGGCCGCACACGGCCACGCCAAGGGCAGCCTCACGGGCTCGGAGACAGACAATGAGGACGTGTACACCTTCAAGACGCCCAGCAACACCCTGTGTCGGGAGTTCGGGGACCTCGTGATGGACAACATGGACGTCCCCTCCACCCCGCTGTCAGCCTACCAGATCCCTCGGACGTTCACGCTGGACAAGAACCACAACGCCATGGCCTTGGCCACCCCTGGGGACTCGGCCGTAGCTCCCCCACCACGGCCCCCCAAGCCAAGTCAGGCAGAAACGCCCCGCTGGGGCAGCCCGCCGCAGAGGCCGCCGGGCGGCGAGAGCAGGCCCGGCTCTGCGGCCGCCACCATCCCCAGGCGCAACACTCTGCCCGCCATGGACAACAGCCGCCTTCACCGAGGTCAGTGTCAGCCCTGGCTGGGCGCCGGAGCGGGGCGAGGCGGTTCTGGGTGAGCCACGGCAGGGGAGCGTGGAGACCCCGGGTCACTGATGTGCACTGGGGTGGGCGTCTCCCACCAGGGCCGGAGGGCCCCCAGCACTGGAGGCAGCTGTGGACGTCACGCCCACAGGGGCGGGGGGGCAGCGCCTGCCGGCAGCTAGAACATTCCCGGTTGGCGGTAGTACTCGCCCAGGGTTTGGACATCCACGTCAACTTTTATTCATTTATATATCAAAGATTTTGAAAATATCAGAAGCCGCAGCAGGTGGATACTGCGGGAAGTAGAGGGCGGGCGCCTAAGCGCCGGCAGGGGGCGCCCCACGACTGGTGCTCCCACCAGGCTGGGGCTGAGTGCGGAACGACAGAGGTGCTGCCGTGTCGTGCGGGGTTGAAAGTAGCCCCTTCTGCAGTAGGAGTGGGACCCTTGGGCTGCACTGGCGAGGGTCTGGGGAGGGGCCGACACGTGGACCACCAGGGAGGACACTCGATCTCTCTCCTGTGTTGTAGCGTCGTCCTGCGAGACCTATGAGTACCCACAGCGTGGTGGAGACAGCGCGGGCCGGTCTGCCGAGTCCGTGGGCGAGAGCTTCGGTGCTTTCCTGGTGAGTAGGGGGTTTCACCAGGAGTCCTGGGAGTGTGGGGGGATTACAGCTCACCCCATTAAATGCACTGCCCCAAAGGAGAGATGAAATCTGTGTAGGGTTCTGCCTAGGTTCCCAAATCACATGCTAGCCCTGGACACTCTAGTCCAACAGAGATGCCTGTACTTGGGCAGACTGCATTCCAAGACTCCCCTGAGAGCAACCCCAGGGGCTCTAGAACTCCAAGACCCAGGTTTGGGGTGCGGGGGGAGGGGAATCATAGAAGGCAGTGGGCCCTTCCCCATAAGGTCTCACCGAAAGCAGGGGTGCCTCAGTGTGAGACCACAGGCAGGCGTGGCACTGGGCGGCTGGCAAGGTGGTGGGATACATTGGCGTGGTGGGTCCCAGGCTGCCTTGTGGAGGGGGCCCGCTGCAGGTCCCCAAGGTGTCAGGCACGCAGACCCGGGCCTGGCTTTGCCCACCCTGGACAGTGGAAACTAGGTAACCAAGGCAGCAGCAGTTCCGTGATACATCGGCAGGCAGGAACAGCCAGGCTCTGCCCAAGACTGCTGCGTCCCACGATGCCCAGGTGGTCACCTAGCTGCCGGGCGAGTGCTGGGCACACAGGAAGCACAGCAGGACTTTGTCCTCACCCTCCAGCACCAAGGTTCCCAATTGGCACTTGCCCATCAGGGCCTGAGCTGCTGACCTGCCATAGCGAGTCTAGACTTGAGGTGGAGGGGCAGGTCCTGAACAGACCCTGACTACTCAGGGCCTGGCTGCCTCTGCCCGATGAAGGCAGAGGGGGATTACAATCCACCCCAGAAACCTGGGTGGACCCCCGTACCAATATACCAGGGGCTTATTGAGGATACCTCATACTGTAGGTTTAGTACACATCATCGGTGGAGCCCCAGGGGTCACAAACATGCAAAGGGGTGCCCCCCCCGACTTCTTCCATCTCCCCCTTCACCTTTCTGTTCGGTCTCCTTTGCAGCTCTAACCTGTAGCTCACTCAGTCATGATGCTCTCACTGCCTTTGTGTGTGTGTGTGTGTGTGTGTTCGCCAGAAATAGAGAAATCACCCCCGGGGGGTGGGCGGGTGG